TTGTACGGATCTCATCTGTACAACTAAACTATTAAACAAATGTTGGTAGAGTGAGAGAGTTAGAGAGAGAGGATCGAAGTGAAAAGTCAGTTATACCCTCAACCCATGTATTATAGTGTAGAGTGAATATTTTGAGGGTATTTTGGTAAAAAAAAAAGTCAGCTGAAGAATATGGCTGTCGGCTAAAGAAGAATTGAATCCTGCCCCGAAGACAATGGGCCCATATTTCTTGCTTGCCCATAGGCCCTTCAAATTACAGAGCCGGCGCTAGAGAGAATGAAGGATTTGTAGAAGAAAAACTGGATAGGGGATTTGCATCCTTTGATTGGCACAGTAATCACTCTCATGCCAAGATTCTTAATGAAATCAGATCCTCATCAGACCATTCTCTGCTCATTCTTGATTCAGGCTCTCAGAATCTCAAATTCAAAAAAAGGTTTTGTTTTGATAGAAGGTGGTCCACAAAGGAAGGTTTTCAGGAAGTGGTTCAGAATGCCTGGAACTCACCCCAAGCAAGTACCCTTTTCTACAGGCTGAAAGAGAAAATTAAGCAGCCTAGAATTGCTCTTCTTATCTGGAGCTCCAAGTTCAAATCTTAGAACCAAGAAAAGATTGCTCATCTGTCCTCTAAGCTTGACACTCTTAGATCTGCAGGCAGGCATGAGAATTGGGATGAATGGGATACAATGAAGAAATATCTTGATAAAGCCTATGCCTATGAAGAAAGATTTTGGGCCCAAAAATCTTGATCTCAGTGGCTAAAAGAGGGTGATGCCAACACCAAATTCTATCATGCCTACACCATCCAAAGAAGGAGGCTGAACGTTATAACTAGGCTCACTACAGATAACAATAGAGTCTGCAATTCCAAAAAGGAGATAAAAGACCACATCACTACCTATTTTTCAAAGTTGTTCACAGTAGAAGGATCTTATGGAGGTGATTCCATTTTGCAGCTTATACCTCGGACCATCACAGAGGATATGAACCATCAGCTCCTCACTCCATTCTCAGATGATGAAATTAAGAATGCACTCTTTAGCCTCCATCCTGACAAGTCTCCAGGGGAAGAGGGCATGACTGTATTTTTCTATCAACATTGCTGGAACATTATCCCTAGAGACTTAATTGAGGCCATCCAAAGTTTCTTCAGCTCGGGTATGATTTTGCAGTACTGGAACTACACAATAGTGACTCTGATTCCAAAATGTCACTCTCCCTCAACTCTCAGACAATACAGACCCATCTCTCTCTACAGTGTAGTCTATAAAGTTCTTTTCAAGCTTCTGGCCATTAGATTAAAATGTTGCTTATCTTCCTGTATTAGTGTGTGTCAATCTGCCTTTATAAAGGATAGACAACTCTTGGACAATGTAATATTGGCTCATGAGGTTTTTCACTTTCTCAACAGACACAGAACAGGGAAAAACTTTTTCATGGCCTTAAAGCTTGATTTAATGAAGGCATTTGATAGGGTAGAATGGGTCTGTATTGAGAAAATCATGATTCAAATGGGGTTCAACTTGAATTTTATTAAGCTGCTCATGGTCTGCATCTCAACTACATCTTTCTCCTTTGCTGTGAATGGTTCCTTAAGTGGGGTGATCTATCCTTCTAGGGGAATTAGACAGGGAGACCCCTTGTCCCCCTATCTGTTCATTATTGTCACTGAACTCCTATATGCTCTCATCAAGCATTCCCTGCACAAAGGTGATTTATCTGGCATCAAATTAACAAGGAATGGCCCTGCCATATCTCATCTGTTTTTTTGCAGACGATGCTCTATTTTTCTGTAAAGCAGAGGTCTCTCAAGGTCAAATGCTGATGAATGTGCTTGAAAGATATAGATTGTTCACTGGACAAAGGGTGAATCTGCAGAAGTCTTCTGCTTTCTTTAGTAAAAATACACCCTCTCACATCTAGGGGAGAATCTGTTCAGTCATGAATGGGATACAACTGCACACTTCCACAAGATATCTAGGCTTGCCCCTAGGAATTGGCAAATCCAAACTTGAATTTTTCTCCTATGTCATTGATTCTGTCAAAGCAAAACTCTGGAACTGGAAGAATAAGATGATTTCCATAGCAGGTAAGGAAGTTCTCCTAAAAGCTGTCATCAATGCTCTTCATGTGTACACTATGTCTTGTTTCAAGCTTCCAGCAGCTATATGTAAAGCTATTTCCAGTCTCAGTGCTTAATACTGGTGGAGTAAAGGAGAATCTCAAGAAAAAGGCATTCACTGAAGGCTTGGAAACTGCTCACTCTGCCCAAAGCTGATGGTGGCATTGGTTTCAAAGATGTAAGGTCCTTTAATGAAGCTCTTATTTGTAAACAATTATGGAGGATTGTAGCTCAGCCTGACTTGCTTGTTAGTAGAGTGCTCAAGGACATATATTTTCCAGAATGCTCCATGTTTGATGTTTCTAAAACCCAAAATGGCTCTTGGCTCTTGGCTTTGGAATACCTGGGTAGAGTGTCTCCCTACTTTGGCTCAGGGTCTCAGAACTAAGATTCACAATGGTGCTGCAACTAAGATCAATGACATCAACTAGGTGCCTGATCTTCCTTTGACAAAACCTACTCTGTTGGAAGTTGCACAAGGCCACGTCACTTGGGTTAGTGAATTACTGCAAGAGGATGGCAGAAGTTGGAACTCTTGGCTGGTGAAAAATCTTTTTAATGTGACTGACAGCAAGGCTATTCTTAGCATCAAGACTCTCAACCCTTCAAAAAATGACAGTGTCTTCTGGTGCTTGGATAAAAAAAGGGAAGTTCTCTATCTCTTCTACTTATGCATTTCTGATTAATCAAAAGAGACTTGGGTATGATGTTCCTAACTGCAGTCACAACTCCCAAATTCTTAAGAAGGCCAGAATCAGAACTTGGAATTTGAGAATAAAAGGGACTCTTAAACATTTTCTTTGGAAATGTATTAATGGCTCTCTTCCTGTCAATGTAAACTTGGTTAAAAGAGGAGTTGCAGTTGATGTTCTGTGTCACTCCTGTGGTGAGGCTCCTGAAACTGTTGAGCACACTTTCTTCCATTGCCCCAGAGCTCAATTGATGTGGAGACTTAGTCCCTTGAACTGGGATGGAGTTAGTTCAGAGGGATGCATCTTCAGAACCTAGTGGACACAAATTTGTACTATCAAACATACTCTGATTGCTGAGGACAAAATTCAACTTACAACCTACCTATTATGGTGGTTGTGGAAGTTAAGAAATCTTTGGATGTTTGAGGGAATCAAACTGCCCATCCAGAAGGTGATAGCTAATGCTCATTATGCATGGATGGAGTTCAGAGCTGCTGTGAAGGGATAATCTCTGTGGTTATCTGTCTTTGTCCCCTTTTTTTCTCTTTTTCTTGCTGTTGTTAGTGTTTTTTCCTTCTTCTTGTTAGTTTGGATTTTTTAGAGAGATTGATTGAAGGCTAGGCTTTATTGCAGTGGCTCTTAGATCCTTCTCTAGTATTGTTGGATTGTATTGCTCTAGGCCGCATGCTTGTGTGTCCTCTCATGTTTTTTTTTAGTAATTGGTGTTATTATCCTGTTGGAATCGGTCTGTATTAGTATGATTGTTCTCTTCTTATTTGTTTATATATAATCTATCTATCGTTCCGAAAAAAAAAAGCCCAATCTGGGAATCGACTCCCGGCCAAGACGGTTTGATATTATCAAACGAATGAGGCTTATTCGACTTCGAATGTCACTTTTACTTGCCAATGTTTCAGTTTATTCACAATTTGGTTCTTGCTTTGTGTGATAGCTTTTAATTAGTATATAATTTAAACTGAGATTCTCAATTTCCCTTTTGTATTCTTTACCATATGGATAGAACGGAATTAAATAAAAACAAAGAATTTTTTAGGAAACATTGAAATAACACTACAAAAAAACTCTTACATTCCAACAGAAATTTTTCGTTGGAATTCTTTATATTTTGCGTTGGAGAAGCTATTCCAACGGATATTCCTACGTATAAAAATTTGTGGGAAAAACGGCCATTGGAGTAGCTAAAATCCAACGGAAAATCCTATGGAAATAAATTTCTACAACCATTCCAACGGAAAAAATCCGTTGAAATTTCTCAACCATCCAACACTTATTCCAACATAAAATTAAGTTTGTTGGAATATCCATTGAAATTTCCAACGAAAATTTTTGCCGTTAGAATTTTGCGTTGGAATTGAAGTGTTTTCTTGTAGTGTAAAAGAGTATCAAACTCTGTGAACTCCATTGGTCCATGAAAATATGGATAAATATATCACTGGAGGCAATTTAAATTGTAGGGCCTTAATATATTCATTACCCTGAAATGAAATAAAATGGAAAGTTTGGGACCATTCATTCTTAACTTCCTATAGAGATAGTTGTTAGTTTGTAATATTGAATACTTAACTTTCCATTTTTTTATTTTTTATTTATTTTTTTGATAGACTTAACTTTCCATTTATGACTTTGGGACCAACTAATTTCCATTTTCGAGGGCAGACATTAGTATCACTCGTAATTATCTTATCATATGCAATGTTTTCTTTGCCAAACTAACGGATAAAATGTGTTTGGGTGATTAATAATTAATTGGTTTTGATGTTGGTATGATATAACACAACTGCACCGTCGACTAGCCGGAGATAGCCCTGGTCGGCTGA